AACATCAACAATCATAACAGTCGCAATGGAAAAGAGTGAGCTAGAGAAGTTGAGAACAATATCGAAGATATGTTAATTAATATATTTTAGCTCTCCAAATCACAAAATAAAGACTTCTTAAATGCAAAATTACAATTTTAAAGTATTTGGATAACAGATATGAAAGTATGGGAAAGAAAAAAGAACTAGAGAGAGAGAGAAAATAGTCTTTGTTTTGTAGATAAATCTGAACACAAGAACATGCTCCCACAGATTATTACAAGGGTCAAGCTACTGTTCTGTAATGATCAGTAAGGAGGGCGTTCTGTATTGATCGGTGAGGAACTGCTCCAGGGTAGACCAGACTAAGTCTGATGCACCTACAGTCTTCTTCCTTCACAAAGAACTGAAGTAACAGACATAAAGTAGCGCAATTAATACTACTTGACATATCATGATCCAAAGCTCATGTGCCCGTGAGTAAAACTTCAAGGAAACACGAGAAATAAGGTGATAAATTAATCAATAGTGTCATGGCTTTGGGTTTGTTTTCCAAGGGTTAAAAGCAAACCTAAAAATGTCATTAGAATAAGTTGACCCTAAAATAAATCATATAACTGATCCTTGTACATCAAGTATTCAAATTTGAAGTCAGGGCTAGATGCGCCCAAACATACTAAAACCTATATTATATAAACATTATACTATATTAATATGATAAACTATATACTATATTAATATGATAAAAATGTATCATTAATATATGGGTCCTTTGCTGTGCTGTTCAAAATGCATGCTTAGCCATATAATCTTTCATAACTGATGTAATTAAATGGTATTAATTAGATAAGTCCATATGGTCAATGCCATAGTCTTCTCATTGTCTGTCATTTATGTATATGTAGCATGTAATCTGACCCCATGAATTGGGTCACTCTACCAAAGAAGTACAGACTGTGCAAAGTGAACGTTTTTTAGAAAAAGTTAAAATAAGAAAAGGTTTACCAAATAAGAACTTTGTTTACTTTGAATCGGGTGCAATGGAAAAAGCAATGTGTTCTTGCGCATGATTGGATGATTGAAGTGAATGCCAATTTGCAATATTTACTAAGCTCCATCAACTTTAATTTTGCATGTTGAAATTTGTTTTTCTTAGTAAACATTAATTTGCTAAGTCTGTACTTCCTTAGTAAATGAACCCCAATGACTTGCAAGTATAGTCATATATCAGGTACCAATATAAAAGGCTTCAAGTTTAAAGCTCAACTACAGCCAAAACTTTTTTTTAAGTACTGGAAAGAGTGGGAGAGGGTTAGAAGCTCTGTCCAGTTTTCTTGCTGGCAGTGTAAATATTAATAGGATAAGAAATCAGGGGAAATCTCTCCAACAAAGACAAGAAAAGGGATAAAAAAAATGTTTTTTCAGTGTTTTTTTCAAAATTTCTGTTTTGGAGCAGGGGGCAATAATTACACGCATTCTAATACTCATCCAAAATTAATTATCATCCAAAATAACAAATACATAGAAATTTGGTCAGAATTGGACTTACAAAGTGTGCATTTTATTCAAAGAGTAAAGTTCAATTTGTGTAAAAAATTATAACATAAGAAACTAGTATTCACCATCCATTGGCCTGCCTAGTGTACACATAAATCAGATTGCTATGGGTCACTGCGATGTGTACATCATCCATTTTCTTTACACTGCCTTACTGCATTAGCACGCAAGCCTATCTGTGATGCACAATACTTTTGCTTATGTATTTTCCTAGTAACATATTAAGTATTCAGTACTTGTGACAGAAGTTAAAAATGGCTCAGCATGCCTTTAGAAGATCATTCCCAGATAACATAACTGCAACTGTTGTATACAGGGGATTATTTTAACTGCACAGTTTAACTAATTGCATAAAATAATTTAGGATTTTATATCTAGAGGTAGACAGTGATGCTTTATTTATATAAGTGATGCTATTGGTGATATCATATATTATATGATATCACCAATAGCAGTCAATTAGTATTCTACAAAAGTATAAAATATGGTCAGCTGGAAAAGCAGCGCTCTTATGAAAATCCAAGCCTGAATTATGCTAAAAAGCCATCGGCCTCAGAAAGAGTGAGCAATCATCAGCTGCGGCAGCACAAGGTGGTCACACAGGGAGTCGCTGTGTTAGGGTTATTAGGTGCCCTTGCCTCTGCTGTCTGCAGATAAATAGGGATGCCACATAATCGATACAAAGCCCACAGCTGTCATTTATCCTAAACCCAGTCCTGACAGGAAGATCACCAGAACTGTCACTTCAAAGTTCTCCTTCTTTTTAATGTCTGTCTCCAGACATGACAGGGTGCCACTATTGATTAACCCTTTCAGTGTTGCTTCAGCAGTACCATACATATGGTAAAACATAGAAGTGGATTTAAAAAATGTGATATTACAATTGTGCATGATTGACATTCCTGTTTTAAAAGCATCATTACATAAACGTATATGTTCTGCTTTGCGGGGTTACACATTCCATTCAGCATTATTTTCGTGTATATCACTTGAGAATAGATACTTCTGTCAAATGAATTAAAAATATATCATTTTTACCATCATTTTTTTTTTCATGTATTTAGAACATCATCTTTTAATTCAGTTCCAATCCTCTTGCATTGAACTCTGTTGTAAATGTACTGTCTCCCTTTACTTTGTAAAGCTGCACAAACTGTTGGTGCTATATAAGTCCTTTTAATTATTATTAATATTATTCTTCTTAGAAGAATAATTATAAATCCTGAATAATAAGAATAAGAATAATTAATAATTTGCAGTTGAATTATTTTCTCCTTTCTATAGAAGAATATGTATGTCCATAAAAACATCCAACCACATTAGGAAGATTTGTATTTGTTTAGCTGTCCATATACCTTGTTGGAGCTTTGAAATTATCTTTTTCATTTGAATTTAATGTGCAAGCATAATAGAAAAATAAAAAGCTGACAGTGGTGTGACTCATGTACATGAATATTCACATCTGAACATCTTTTCTTCTCTATACAAATCAATGTGATTGCAAAAGCAACTTAGAAGCAGCTCGAGGAAACTCCTTGAGGTAAGTCAAAGCAACACAGAAGCATCTGAAAACATACTATTTTGACTTCTGAGTCTGATGCCTATGTGTCCCATTCTTACCCTGAAGATAAAAAGCTAAAAAATCAGCTCAAAGATCACAATTATTGGGCTTCATACCATAATTACTTAATCAGCCCTATAGGGAGCCAAAATTGCAAACAAAATACACTTTTGCCACATGTTCCATATAGTTCATTTTCTAAAGCTATAAAATATAGAGGTGTCATAGGCAGCTGTCCGGTTACACAGTAGAATCAGGGGGCTCAAAGTCACACAAAAGAAATGCCTGTGAAGTCTGGCCATGGGGTTGGCAACTGACTCAAACTCTTGGCTTTCCATACACTTATCAGTTTTGTGGCCCTTCAGCAATATACTGTAGGCATTTGTGTTTTCAATAAAAATGTGATAAAAAGTTTCCAAAACTGCCAACATAATTGCCAAGTGTATGGCTAGCATATGTATTACCAGAACTTCCATTATCTATATAAAATAACATAAAAAAGGGACATGGCAAATGAGCCATAATTACTTTGCCCAAATGTCCTTCCAATATTTGATTGACACTTTAGTTTCTGTTTTAGTTGGCCATAGATTTAGTGATGTTTTAGTTAATCCTGCAAAGATTATCTCCTTGTTTCTGACATTGCTTATAAAAGATTGAAAATAAATGCTATAAAATGTCTTAAAACCTGTCAATAAATGGCAGTGATCCTTTTACTGTACAATAGTTTAAAAAAATAAAAACCCACACATGACAATTAAAAATGAATCTTTAGAAAAACTCTTTTAAATCTGAAGAAATATGTTCACTCCTGTTTGGGCTGAATATTTGTTTGCAGAACAGGAAGTTATTAATTCATAGGTTTACCATGAAAAGTCTGAAAATGTCAAGCGATAATCCCAGCTTTGTGAATTACCGTACTTCTCCTGTTTTTCGGCATTAACAGTGTCAACTGGACCATTTTTATGTAGTAGGAGGCAACACTGTATATTTTTTATGTGGAAGAGTGAAGGAGGAAAGTAGTACTGCCTGCTGTCACCATCAAGTAAGGATTGTGATAGCTCTATGCACACAGGGCCATCCATATGATGAGACAGCCTGAGGCTGTTGCCTCAGGCAGTGTTTCCTTGTATGTGGTGGGTACAGGCAGAGCCTGCTGCACCATTTCCATCCAGAGCATCCCAGGTTGTTAAGAGCCAGTTGGGGAAATGTGTAAGGGCCATACACATTTTCCCTCCCAGCTCTTAGCAGACCTGGGACTCTCTGGCCAGCCCCCTGCCCAGCTCCTGGCAACCAGTGACGTCAGCAAGCTGGGCGGAATGCCGGTCAGAGCTGGGCGGTGCACCATCAGGATGCAGACCAGAGAACTGTTAGCATACACAACCAGCACCCCATCAACCCCCCTTCCCAAACATGACCACCAGCACCACCCCTTCCCCCTTTCCCAGCCTTAGGCGGCAATTATGCTAGGGAGACCCCTGTCTGCACTCCAACTTTAATCATTACCAGGAAGACAGAATAGCAGCAGAAGAGGTAACATAGAAGAGCCATTAACTCATGGAGCAGAGGCAACTGACATCATCATTGATGCCCCTCAAGGAGGTGTAGGTATATTGCATACAAAGATTAGCCAAAAAGTCAGGAACCTAGCCATATGTCTGGATTTTTTAGATGCAGACTTTTTTACTCACTGTAAATAATGTTTCAGTTGTGATGCTGCAGAACAACAAATGATCTTTCCTAAAATAAATGATATTATTAATACAAACCATGTCAATAAAATATTGATTTGATAATATTATAATATTTATTTAAAGAAAATGTTTAATATTCTGTTTGTCAGGACAATGAGACAGTACACTTCACAGTTAATTGTGTATGTGCGTTGTGTGTTCTTTTAAAAAGAAATGCTAAATGTTGGCTCAAAAATATCTTCCAGCAAGATCAGGAAGTTGATTTGTTGAATCCTTATGTGTTCCAGCCTCCAACTCTTGCTTTAGATGGCAGCTGATATTGGTGAACTTCCATATCCCTAGAGGAAAATAAAAGAAGAAATTAGATTTATAAGAATAAAATGACTTTTACCTCTGAACTATACATTATAATGTGTTCATATTAAAAAATGAGAATGGGGATCCTCAGAATGTCTTCCCATCACCGAGGCAGTTAATATCATTTTGCTGATTACCATTTGTGTAGATATCCCTATGCTAGCCCATAACTCTGTCTCTTACCATTTGACAGTGGTTCTAATGATGCCACAGCTGATTCATAGGGGTCTATTCACTAAGCTGCTGTGGGCAGCCGAGTGAAAGACCGACCTGAAGTGAAGTGAGCCGAACGCTGTTCGGCTATTCACTTCAGGCTGGTACGGCTGAAATCAGCCGTACATCGGGTGGCTTCGCGTGGCTTCGGGTCGGACGAACATGCTCAGCATGTTGGCTGACCCGAAGTGCAGGAGGAGTTCGACTCAGCCAATCCAGCATCTGGATTTGCTAAGCCGACCCTCCGGCAGGCTACTCGCTGCTGTTCGGTCTATTCTTATAGATGCCGGACAGCAGTGAGTGAATAGCCGAATGCCGCTGAGCGGCATTCGGCTCGGCTGTTCTTCTCGGTCACTCAGAGGGACCAAGCAGAACAGAAAAATAGTTAAAAAAGTACAAAAAAATAAATAGAATACGATTGTGCGGAGCTAGTAATGACAGCTAGCTCCACTCAACAGTTTTCTATTGTCCGGCGGTTCTGCTGCCGTCAAAAAAAAAGAAAGAAAAAAAACTCTCCCTGGCGCTCTGGGAGTCTCCCGCTCGTGGCCGCCCAGGAGAGAAACACTGCTTTTTCTTTTATTTATTTTTATTAAAAAAATAATAATTTTTGCCCATAGGAATACATTGCTAGATTCCTATTGGCTATTTCAATTTGCAATAACCAATAGTAAAATAGCATTGTACCCGCCCTCTGCTGATGGACCTGATGGAGAACTGCAGCAGAGGGCGGGTACAATGCTAGTTTACTATTGGCTATTGCAAATTGAAATAGCCAATAGGAGTCTAGCAATGCATTCCTATGGGCAAATTTTTTTTTTTTACTTTCTATTCTGACACAGCTCCGTGTCAGAATAAAAAAAAAAGAAAAACCAGTGTTTCTCTCCTGAGCAGCCGGGAGCGGGAGACTTTGCTGTCTGGAGATCAGTGTCCCTGGTTAGCTGGTAACCAGGGACGCTGATCTCTCTGCAAGTGGCCGGAGCCAGCCCTAAGATCACGGCTGACTCTTTGGCCAGCTTTGGCTTTCATCGCAGCTCAGCCGAGCCGAGGCATATGCCTTCGGCTCGACTGAGCCGCTCGGCTAAGTTCGGGAGCTGTACGGGCTATTGTGAATCGAAGGGGTCTTGGGGCCGAAACTAGCCGAAGGATCGGCCGAAGCTACGGCTAGATCCTTCGGCTGCTTCGTGAATAGACCCCATACTGTTCATGCTGTGGAATAAGAAAGGAGTCAAGCATGACTAATTTCACTTTTCTTGTGTCTGTCTTTTTTTTTAGTTCTGGATGGAAATAAAATGTTTGCACTCTTGATCACATTACTTCTTGTCCCAGAAACACAATAAGAATTGAGTGGAAATCTCTCCAAAGTGGGGAGCAAAATCCCCATTTGGCAGTTGTTATCAAAACAGGTATACCCCAACTGGAAGATTTCTTCTCATCTCCTGATCCAGTAACAATAATCACTAGAACAAATAGAGGGAGTGAATCTCAACAGCACACACCAATAATAACCTAACAGGTGTTCTATAATTAGAAAAAAACAACTGGGACTTGGTTATAAACAAAGTATGTAAGTAATGGTAAGTTAAATACTAAAGGTGAAAAATTAGCTACTGTATATTTTGACACAGGAAAACATCATGGTGGGTGATTGGTCATAAGCAATACTGTTTGGTTCTACTTCAGTAGACAAAGAAATTGTTAATGTGGGAATCTACAAGTTTTTACATATTAAAAATATCTTCCAGAGACGATGTTATATCAAGTTAAAGTGACGCTAAACTCAGGAGTTAAATCTTAAAAATGCATTCAGGTACCTCAACTATTAACAAAATATTATTTTGTGTATAACTTGGCTGTAGATCCTCAAATAATTTCTGAACTGGTGCTGACACTGTCCTTACTTCTGGAGGGTGGTTACTTTTGTTCACCATGGTCCCTGTGTGTGTAGTTTAGACTACATTCTCAACTACAATCTCAATACAAATTAGTAGCCACACTCCAGAAGGAAGGACAGTGTCAGCACCAATTCAGAGATGATTTGAGGATCTACAACCAAGTGATACAGAAATACGCAACATTTTTGTTAATAGGTAAGGTACTAGAATGCATTTTTAAGATTTAACTCATGAGTTTAGTGTCACTTTAATTCTACTCCATTGGCATTATTTTATACCTTATAACTGTTGCTCTTGTATATACTTCTGGGTATGTATCACCCTGGTTGACCCCATACAACTCGATGTACAAAAGCCTCTTTTTTTTTTGTCGCTTTCACAGTGCTAAGTACCTAAATGTCCTTGACCTCAATCGTATTTGTAAGTTATGTGCAGCAAGTTGTATAGAAAATAATAGGTTGTCTTTATCAATAGAATATCTTTTCACCTGGTCCCAGAACTGAGCTTAAATGAAGAAATGCTTGCTGTGTATAAAATATATGAATCTTATATTCACAGAACTAGGACCTCACTTGTATTGTTAACTGTGTTGTAAAGGTTGCTGACAGAAGATTCAGTGGTTCAAAGTAAAGGCTTCAAGAGTTGCTTAAGGTTTTCACCACACACAGCACAGAGGCATGTTCAGCCATCTCATTGTGTAGCTTTGGATGTTATTGAATGGAGTTTAAGTGTTTGCATGGGCTTCCTCTCAAAACCTCAATGCCTACTAGTACCTTAAATGGTGACCAAACTTGTCCTTTGATTTGTAAGAGACATCCTGTGGTATCTGTTCTAAGGCAGAATTTCTCAGTTGTCATAGTTTACAGTACAAACCGGCTGTTGTTTATTTGAATTTAATTTATGGTCGGTAAATGAATATTTGGAGCATGGAGAAATTACATTAGCAATGAAAGGGATTCAATGGGGTACATGCAAAAGTGTCATGACACAAATACACTAACCTCACCCTGATCTATATAACGTTTCATACTGAAGTTCTTTTCTAACAGTTTAGTAGCTAATGATAGATAATGTTGAATTTGTTTTCCAGTAGTTGTTTCCAGTGCATACCTACCTAATGGTGACCTTTGGTAAATGAAGCAACTAATTTGAAGATAACTTGCAACAATTTGGTCAAGCCTGAGTTAATTCCCAAGGGCTAATGGCACTTATTAACATCAGAATTGGCAATTTTTTCTAAACATGTTGATCATTTCGTGATTGTTCTTTCTCCAAAGAAAAGGTAAAGGGACTTTAAGTGTGAGTTGCAATAGAATGTCAGTTGAATCAGAGAAGAAAGCACTGGAACAATACTGTGTCAGTGTAGGGTGATTGCACACTACTGGGGGGTTCAAGGATGAAGCACTTTTCCACAGACCATATGTGATGTAGCAACATACCAATGTGAAAGAGAGAAAATTATCTCTCTAAACCAGCACAAGAATTATAATATCTTTGGTTACCTCAAGCCTGGTTTGGATTTACTGCTCTGTAATAAAGAACAATTAACCCACCTCCAACCAAGCCACTGAGACAATCTGAGCATTTATGTCTCAAAAGTAGTATAAAAAGTATCTAAAGAATATCGAAGCCCAATAACAAAAATATAATATATTACAGCTTACCAATTCTTACATGTGGTACCTTAATTAAAATTATTTTGTAATGCCAAGTAACTTTTTGCTAATAGGAAGTGCTTACTACACATACGTAGCTAGAGCACTGCATTAGTAGGCAGTAGCGATGAGATTCAGATCTTGGACTGACATGGGTTCTGGGTCTGTCATGAACATGAACTTAGAACTTAGTTACTTTGAACTTAAAACTTTGAACTTAGGCCATTGTAGCAATCAACACTGCAAGGAGAAAGGCTGAGGTTGCAGCCAAAACAACCTAAACTTAATTTTTTTCAAAATGATATGAATCCGATTGGATTGCTGATGCTTATTTTAAGCCAAATCAATTATAAAAGTGAATTATGCATCCAAAATATGTAATGCCAAAACACAATGTCATGGATGTTGTCCATGAAAATCGTACTGTTCCATAACACTTCATACAGCCTAAAGGCATTTCCAAACCATGTAATTGAAAGGATTGGTGTTTTTCCCATGTTATCCTAGAAGTTGCATTAAAGGAGGAACCTCTCCCTGCTCTACAGATTTTTAAAAAAATTACTTTAAACTACCTTGCCTATGAGCATGGCAAAAGGCCAGAATTTAGTTTCAAGACTGGCCCACGGAGGATTCAATGGTCTTCAATGCTAAGTTTGGGTTTCGGTGATAATGCTCCTGGCTATATCTCAAGCCTTGTCTCAAAGTATCACCCTAACCGTCCCTTCCGCTCTTCAAATGACCTTCTGCTTTCCAGCTCCCTCGTCAACTCCTCCCATGCTCACCTCCAGGACTTCACTAGTGCCTCTCCCATCCTATGGAACTCTCTACCCCAACCTGTCCGTCTATCTCGCACTCTGACTGCCTTTAGGCGATCCCTTAAGACTAATTTCTTCAAGGAAGCCTATCCCACCATGTATCACCTCCCCACCCTTTAGATGGCAACAATATATTGTTGTGATGCAACCTACTCCAATCATATCTCTGAATTCTTAAGAAAAATATGTATGGTGCCATAACCTCACTTTGTTATTATTAAACACCTAATATACACACACAAACCCCTTGAACAATACAACAAACTTGTAAGCATGAAGGACTCTTCTAGTTATTGACCACATTACAGCGATTCCATAGACACAGTAATAACAAAAGTCAATGCATTCTTATATCAAAGCCAGAAATTTCCAACAACTGCAGGTCCAAGAACTTGGAAACATTTCT